GCCCACTTACAGTACACGATTGGGTTGTAAAATATAATCACAGAGTCGTACAACCATCACCACAGTCAATTTTGGATGTCATCCCTCAAAAGGAAATCTGTACTCTTTAAAGGTTCCCCTCCTATCCACTTCCCACCCTCCTGGTAAGAACAAATATACCTTTTGTCTTTGTGAATTTGTCTATTCTGCACATTTGGACACTATGTGGTCGTTTGTGTCTCAAGTGTTTTCCTTAGGATGTTTTCTAGGTTCATCTATCTTGTAACAAGTATCAGTTCAGCAGTTCAAAACCACCAGCTGCTCCATGGGAGAAAGCTGAAGCTTTCTACTTCAGTGAAGAGTTACAGTCTCTGAAACCCACAGGGGCAGTTCTACCCTGTCCTATAGGGTCGAATCCTGATTGGCAGTGAGGGGAGAGGAAGATTAAATGCTCATATTTTAATGGAGTGCTGGTGGTATAGTGGGTAATGTGTTGGGCTGTTAACTACAATGTCAGCGGTTTGAAACTGTCAACAGCTTTTTGGGAGAAAGATGAGGCTTTCTACTCCAGTTCCTAGGAAAGGACATCATGCTTGGTAAAAGTAGAGGGGCAGGGATCAAGAGGAAGACCCTGGAGAAGATGGATGCATCGATGGGCTCAAAGATAAAACCCCAAACTCATTGCCATCTAGTAGATTCAGACATACAGTAGCTCTCTACTGGGTTTCTGAGACTAAATCTTTATGGGAGCAGACCATAGTAGACAGCATATATTGACTTCAGTAAAGACTTTAGGAACCAAATTTCAATATACAGGCTACATAATTTTGATATTCAGGTGATATACTTGAGTGGCTAGTATTTCTCATGCAATAAGCTATTGTAAAAACGGCATAGGACCAGGAAATGCTTGGTTCTGTGATACATCAGGTTTTTATGAGTCGGAACCAACTTGATAGGACATAACAACCATACTCCTGTGAAGAGTTACAGTCTCGCAAACCCACAAGTGCTGTTCTGTTCTGTCCTAGAGGGTCCCGATGAGTCATCGTTGACTCAGTGGCAAGGAGTGAGCATCTTGCAGCTTGAAGGATGATTCTGCTGAGAATCTCAGTCAAAGGAACTCACACTCATTCTATCACCAGATACCAGCCAGGTTTCTGAGGTAGTTTTCTCTCTCAGATATTTGATCCTCATAATTTAGAGAGTATCCTTCAGGTCTTGGAAAGGATGAATCTTTCCATTTAAAAATCAAAGCCTGAGAATGCCTGCACACAGATCTCCCTCCCTCCCTCCCTCTTTCCCTCCCTCCTTCCCTTCCTCTTCTCTTCCTCATTCCTTCCAATACACTTTGATAGCTGAAAAGATTCTCACTATCACCTCATAATTGCTTGTGTTTAGACAAAATAATAAGTTTCTGGTCACACACGTCTTTGTCGGCAGGGCCAGGACAAGAGCCAGGATCAGCAGCAGCTCACCTCCAGCTTCTGCTGTGTCATCTTCTCTCCTGTTGAGTCTCTAAATCCCCAGTCATTTTGACGGCTGCTTTATAAATTGACTTCAATTTCAATTCCCTTCTGCTTTAAACTTGACAACTTTCTGGCTCTAAATCACTCTATTTAAAACTGCATCATTGCTATTGAGAAAAATATAATAACTGCTGACTGTGGATGACTCGATTCCAAGAGAGAAGAGTGGTGGAAATTCCCAGAACAACCAGGGTATTTTTACTGCATCCATAGAAACCTTTAGAAGAATGATTCCTTATATATGGCAGGTTTTCTTTGGGCAAGATGATGTTTTAGTTCCTAAAGCAACAGGAAAGATGAAAGCACTTGACTTCTCTTTGGTATGTAGTTCTAAGAGAATGGTCTGCATACTGGAAATGGGATACCTAGCAATGTAAGGACGAGATCAAGTGTCGAGTTTAAATCTGTAGGCTTAATGAATATATCCACAGGCACTGGTCAAACTTGTAGAAAATAATATCGTATTAACAATATTGAAGACTTTGAGGGGAATAAATGGGTCCCCAAAAGGGATGAGAGGGTTAGTTCCTGGAGTTGAGATGAGAGGATTTAACACTGATAAGTGTTTATATATCTACAGAGAAATATAAAGAAGAAAACATGGAATTTAAAAATTGTGAATCTCCCCTCCATTGGACAGACACAATTCTGGCCGAAGTGTGACGTCATTTCCTTGTACACATATATATACCTATATGATTTTTTAATATTAAAAATTAAGATTTCCATTTAAAATAATATGATACACTAAATAAGCACAGTTGAGATAATCTTCATATTTTAGAAAAGTTTTCTATGTGACTGCTCTTTCAGAACAGACAGTGATACTACCTGTCTGTCGTTCTTTTGGAAACATAGTTTATAATGGCTGCACAGTATTCCATAATCTATTTAGCCATATTCTAAATATTGGACAGATGGGCAGAATGTGCATTGTCAGAAAAACGTTATCTGAGTACTTGGGAATGAAAACAATGAAGGTCAGCACACAGTCACCTGCCAGTCTCTCCAAACTCCCCAAAATGTAAAAATAGGATTACTAGATGATAAGTCGAAGTAATAAAACCCCAAACCCATTTCCATCTAGTCGATTCAGACATACAGTACCCCTCCACTGGGCTTCTGAGACTGTAAATCTTTATGGGAGCAGACCAGAGTAGACAGCATATATTGATTTCAGTAAAGACTTTGGGGACCAAATTTCAATATACAGGCTACATAATTTTGATATTCAGGTAATATACTTGAGTGGGTAGTATTTCTTATGCAATAAGCTATGGTAAAAGACGGACCATCACAGCCCCGCGTGTTAAGGGGCTATCTATCCAAAGAAGAGACTGAGTAAGTCAGCAATTAGAGTTTGTAAGATTATGCCTGCTCTCTATCCAAAAGGGAGACAGAGTAAACCAACACTGAGAGTTTGCTGGATGATAGCTATAACAAATGTCCACATACAATGAAATGAATGTACAGAGGTGGGGAGTCAGGATAGGACCCCCTGCAACTGGGAATCTACTATCGGTACAGGATGATTGGATATTTTAAAGCCTGTGAGTTAGTAGTTAAGTACTGAGGATGTAGGAAGTTTAGGGGAGGGATGGATAGAGATAAAGAAATAAGAACACCGGGGCTTTTATTTAGGGTATAGTCTATGGAAGTGGAGGATATGGCTAAGACAAACTCAAAGTCACTGCCATAGAGTTGATGCTGACTCACGGTGAGCCTATAAGCAGAGCAGAATTGCCCCTCTGAGTTTCCAAAACAGTCACTATTTAAGGGAGCAGAAAGCCCTGTCTTTCTTCTCCTGAGGAGCGGCTGGTGGTTTTGAGCTGCTGACCTTGAAGTTAACAGCCCAACACGTAACCACGACAGATTAGGATAAATGGCAATTTGTGCATCAAAGACCTGGGGTTTCAGCTACGTCTTTATGAGAATCCAAATAAAAGAAAATATAAACGAGAATCCAAATAAAAGGAAATATAAACGAGCCACATTACTTTCAGAATCATGTACTGAATTCTTGAAAAGCCAAAGAATTTTAAAGTAGGAAGAAGAGTGTAGTGAAGAGTTGAGAAGCAATGTCTTAAAACCAAGAGCAATACTAGGACCCCTTTGTGTTTATACCATCCACTCACACGCATTCTCCTATTTGCTCATCATAAGAAAACTCTTATGAAGAACGGGATGGGATCTAGCTGAGAAAATGAAAACTTAAGGAGTCATTGTAATGGCTTTCCAATATTGGGAAGGCAGTGTTGTGTGAATGGAGATTGAATTTGTTCTATGTTGCTAAGGATCGCAAAGCTGGGAACCAAAGGTGAAGGTTATAGTGGGCAGGAGCATCACATATTTTGAAAAATGACATTTAAAATTTCAAGACTGATTGGTGGACTTATCTTGAACTTAAGAGCCCCTTGCAGAAGATATTTTTAAATGTAATAGACAAAATTCAAATTTGAATCCATAAAAATGGAACAAAAATGCCAGTAGATCACCCCTGAATGAAACTATATTTCTTAGAAACAATATAACATCATCTTAACACTTAGTACACTTAAGTAAATATATTAATTCATAAAAATAGAGGTATTGGGATAGGTACATATACTTATATGGCAATACATTGAGGAAGTGGACTTACTGGGCCTCTGCTCAAGCCCTCCCTCAATGCAAGAACACTTTGTTCTAACAACCTGGCATTCTGTGATGCTCACCCTCCTCACATGATCACTGAAGACAAAACGGATGCCTGGATGTTATAAGAGCTGTAAGAGCCCCCAATAAAATGATCTTAAAAAAACAGCCCCTCCAAAAAACCGCACTTAGTACATGCCAAGAATATATGAAGTAAGATATTGTAGAAAAAGTTCTCCACTGTATAAATGCCCATTTCCCTTTACAAAATATACACTTACAGTATCTGCTTCTTTTCCATCAATCATTTCTAGATCGTCCAAAGACCACTTTTTTGTTACTTCGTATTTTTCATCTAAACCCACTCTGTAGTGTTTCACAATAATTATTTTTACTTCTTCATTTTTGGTCACTGTAGGTAGAGGGAAAGAAAACAATTAGTTTAATGTAAACTCTTAAAAGATAATAAATTATTCATCAAGTCATATTTTTCAATAGCTATGCATCTTCTTTTCATACAAAAACCTTGAAGTCAGTGATATCCTGACCTTGGCCATTATTTCCACACCTCAATCCTCAGTCCCAATGCATTTGAATCTTCACAAAATGTGGCCCCAATTTGATTAATGCAGTCACATTATTTTTTGCTGCAATCATGATTACAGCTTGTCACAGAAATATCATCTGGAGCAGTGAGCTACATGCATAGAGATTTTTGGTGGAGAACTGGGTTCAATTTTGGAAAGGAAGTAAGAGGTTTAGTTTTAGCATATGATCCATGCCAAGGTGATTACCAGAACCAGTCGGGATTTTGCTTCATAAGAATGTAGAAATGTGGGGTCAGGAAGGCAAACAGTTCTACTCACATAGCACCATGGTGCTGAAGAGTGACCAAGCAGGTGCCCCACTAACTGTGACCCTTCCTCTAAAAGTCTCTGTGAGCCTCTTGACACAGAGGTACTGGTGTGGCAGCTACTGTTGACCTGGGTGGACTGTTTGAGATTTTGAGTCCTCTTAAGTGTGCCTTCCGAATTCTAGCATTCAAAATGTGCAGACATTTTCAAAAGAGTGGCACCATCATGGCTTATTTTATGTGAACCAAACAAGAGAAATAACTTACTGGCCTTATAATTATTTGCCTTTAGACTCATAAAAACACACCAGAAGAAACAACATTTGAACTGTGTGCTCCTGAATCTGAAAGTTAACTAGGTGGGAATGAAGGAGTATTTAGTGAGTATCATGTATTTGCCTAATAGAATCATTCTAGGGCTGCGAATATCTGATGAAAGTCTTTGTTCTCCACAAACCGATGGGGTTTTGTGTTTTGGAGAGATGCAAGGTTAACACGAGTCACATACAGTAGTATATTATAGGTAAATATCAGATGGGATCAAATATATGAAATATGTGAATATATGTGTCTTGTCAACAGGAATGTCAAGCAGAGAGAGTGTGTGCCCCTCCTCCAGGGAGGAAGACAGGAGTTCCCAGAATCGTCAAGAGAAGGTCATATCCACTTAGAGGCCTCATTGGCTATGACCTGATTGACAGGCTAGACTCCACCCCTTCATCAAGTTGACAGGAGATTATGTAACAGCCACGATGATGACAACAGAAGCTACACTTCACCAGGCAGTAGGAAAGCTGCTGGGCAAGGGCTCTTGAACTGAATGAAGCCAGTGAGGAGAGGAAGTTTCCCTGGAAGATGCAGATCAGATGAAATTAAGGGAATGCTGTAAGCTCAAATTTGATGATGGGATTGAATTAGCTAAAGAAGACAAGTCTGAGCAGATTGGTTTATCTAAGAAGAGGGTGCTGCGGCAGATGTT